TTCCAAGAAGCGTGTCTTCTATACTGAGATAGAGACTAAAAACGCGTAAGCTTGAGAGACTTGAAATTCGCAAACAATTTCAAACTTCGCGCAAACTTCACCCTTACTTGTCGTGCAGACGTAAATTTAGACCACCCCAAGGACAGATGATGGCCCCTTTTCCCCTACAGAGAACAGAAGTCGGATGGTATCCCTTCAAGTGTGTTGGGGTAGATTATTTTGGACCCTTTATGACTAAGCGTGGGCGGTCTTATTAAAAAGCTATGGTTGTCTGTTTAGTTGCTTACAGACCAAAGCCGTCCATCTTGAGATGGCTTTCTGTCTTTCTACTGATTCCTTTCTCCAGTGCCTAATGAGGTTCGTTAGTAGACGAGGAAAGCCGACTGACATCTATAGTGACAATGGAACCAACTTTGTTGGATCAGTTAGGGAGCTCAGAAGTGAAATAAAAAGGTGGGATCAAAGGGTAATATCAGATCAGTTACTGACCTCTGAAATACAATGGCATTTTAATCCACCTGCAGCTAGCCATCGCGGGGGATTATGGGAACGTGTGATCAGGTTAGTACGACGAATCCTCATTTCACTGTGTAAAGAGCAATGCGTAAACGACGAGCGACTCAACACCCTCTTTGTACAGACAGAACGCATATTAAACAATAGAGCGCTGATTATACCCGCTTCTTGAACCCCTTACACCTAACAGTTTATTATTAATGCGAGATAGCTTGGAGCTGTCCTGTACGGACGATTTGGTTACGCGATAACATGCGGGATGGAAACAAGTACGCTACTTGGCGGGCGTCTTTTGGCGACGCTGGACCAGAGAATTCCTTCCTACACTACAACAACGTACTAAGTGGCTTCGAGAGTCCCGAGAGCTGAAAGAAGGTGACGTGGTCTTAGTGTCTAGGGAGCACATACCTCGTGGAAAATGGCCTCTAGGAGTGATTGATAGGTGCGAAGAGAGTCCCGATGGTTTAGTTAGGACTATGCAAGTGAGAACGGCGGG